TAAAATTATATATACAGAGGTGGGGGGATCACTTAAGCTCAGGAGTTCGAGACCAGCCTGGGAAACATGGTAAAAACCCATTTCTACAAAAAATACAAAAATTAGCCAGGCACAGTGGCATGCACCTGTAGTCCCAGCTACTTGGGAGGCTGAAGCGGGAGAACTGCTTGAGCCTGGGAGGTGGAGGTTGCAGTGAGTCAAAATCATGCCACTGTACCCCAGGCTGGGCAACAGAGTGAGACTGTTTAAAAAAGAAAAAAAAAAAAAAAATGCACACAGCCAAATCACAATGACAGATGCTTAACATAATTTGCCATTAGAGAAATGCAAAACAAAATCACCTATAGAAAAGAATGCGCTCACTACAATGACTACCATCAAAAAACAGATAAGGACAGCTGCTGGGGAGGATGCAGAGAAACCAGAAACTCATACCTTACTGGAGAGAACATAAAACAATGCAGCTGCTTTTTAAAGAATTTGGCAGCTCCTCAAAATGTTAACATGGAGTTACTCTATGACCCAGCAATTCCACTCCTAGGTTTACAATCAAGAAAAGTGAAAACTTGTGTCCACAGAAAATTTGTACACAAATGTTCACAGTAGTATTATTCATAATGGACAAAAAGTGGAAACAACCCAAATATCCATCAATTGATGAACAGATAAAAAGTGGCATACCCTTACAATGGAATAGTATTTGCAATAAAAAATGAAGTACTAATACATGCTACAACATGGATGAATCTTGAAAACATATTAAGTAAAAAAGATGCCAGTCACAAAAGACCAAATATATGATTCCATTATATGAACTATCCAGAATAGGCAAGCCTGTAGAGACAGAAAGTAGATTCACGGTTGCTTAGGGCTAGAGGTGGGGATCAGGAAAGCTAGAGGGGAAAGGGGGAGCAACTGCAAATGGGCAGGGAATTTCTTTCTGGGATAATGAAAATGTCCTAAAATTGATGATAACAATGGCTGCAGAACTCTGTGTTTATACTAAAACCTTTGAATTGTATACTTCATTTGTTGTTTTGTTTGTTTTTGAGACAGAGTTTCACTCTTGTTGCCCAGGCTGGAGGGCAATGGTGAGATCTCAGCTCACTGCAACTTCCTCCTCCCAGGGGATTCTCCTGCCTCAGCCTCCCTAGTAGCTGGGATTACAGGCACCTGCAACTATGCCTGGCTTAATTTTTTGTATTTTTAGTAGAAATGGGTGATCCACCAGCCTTGGCCTCCCAAACAGTTGGGATTACAGGTGTAAGCCACCACGCCCAACCTGAATTGCATATTATATACGGAAGAATTGTATGGCATGTGAAGTACATCTCAACAACCCTGTTTTAAAAAACAGAAAAGATGACAGATAATTATGTTGAAGTCACAGCAGACCAAAAGCCCAACATAACTAGATGGCATGGGGGCTGATTAAACACAATACTAAAATGCTGTTGTTATTCTCTATCTACCTTCCAACTGAAACAAACAAATGCAAACACATCTGTGTGAATTTATACATAGCCCAATCATTCCCTTACTATAAGCACAGATCTTTACTAGACTAACATATCTAAATCTGAGTTCCACAAATAAAATAATGAGGCAACAATAAGGTTTCCTAAGACAGTTTCAAAAGGGGAACTAAGACTATAATTACTTAATTTATTATATATATATACATATATTTTTGAGAGTCTCGCTCTGTAGCCCAGGCTGGAGTGTAGTGGTGTGATTTTGCCTCCCTGTAACCTCTGCCTGCAGGATTCAAGCAATTCTCCTGCCCAGGCTGGGTAGCTGGGATTACAGGCGCTCGCCACGACACTCAGCTAATTTTTGTATTTTTAGTAGAGGTGGGGTTACACCATGTTGGCCAGGCTGGTCTCAAATTCTTGACCTGCTCACTTTGGCCTCCCAAAGTGCTGGGATTACAGGCGTGAGCCACTGCACCCAGCCAGAAAAGACTATAATTATGTAAGTGCCCACATTTCAAATAGAGTGTGATTTTAAAAAAATTAGATATTTGGAATTTAGAAGGCATTTTCAATAGAAATAATATAATAAATTATTAGTTATATTCCTAGATCTACCAGCAAAGATGGATAAAAAGCTGATGGCATTATGTTAGGTATATGGCTGTCCACCAATTCAGAGTAAGGAGACCTGAGTTTTAGTTTGAATTTTACCAGCTGTTAAAAAATTTCATATCTTACAGTTGCAAATAAAGCTAAACTAAGTGACATCCTGCATCCCTCTATGCTCTGACAGTCTTAGAAACAGAACCAAAAGCATCAATTCAGAGAACCCATTTACAACTGATAGTTGCATTTCTACACAAACTGAATTTCAATTTTAAAACCAGGAGGATCTCTTATTTCTGTGGGGAATAATAGCAGCCTTCTCTATGTAAGCATAAGTTGAGGAGAGGGGGTTAAACTATATACAGTTGTTTCTGGATATCCATAGGGGGATAGTTCTAGGATACCCCCTCAGATACCAAAATCTGAGAATGCAGAAGTCTCTTACATAAAATTGCGTAGTATTTGCAAATAATCCACACACATCCCCTTGCATTAATTTAAGTCAGGGGTGTCCATTTTTTTGGCTTCCCTGGGTCACACTGGAAGAACAATTGTCTTGGGCCACACGTACATAAAATATACTGACACTAATGATAGCTGATGGGCTAAAAAAATTAAAAATGCTAAAAATCTCATAATATTTTAGGAAAGTTTACAAATTTGTGTTGGGCCACATTCAAAGCCGTCCTGGGCTGAGGATTAGACAAGCTGCTTTAAGTCATCTCTGGATTTCTTATAATACCTAATACAATGTAAATACAATGTACGTGGTTGTCATATTGCATTTTTCTTTAAATGTCTTTAAAAAATATTGTTGTATTGTTATTACTATTAGGGTTTTTTTTTTCTTTTTTAGTGTTTTTGATGTGCAGTTGGTTGAATCTGCAAAGTCAGAACGCTCGGACAAGGAAGCCAACTGTACTCCTCGATGCCAATGACTTGCTTACTCTCTACTTATTATTATCTCTTATTCTCCATGCCTTCATTCTAGCATATGCTTCAGTCTAGCATAAGTAGTCACCCTTCTATATTGTGGAGTCAGAAAGGACAATATCTAGATCATTGCTCAACAGTTCTGAACTGGAAGATTAAAAAGCTGGGGAGGTGATGGTGAGGAAAGACAGTACTCCCAGAAGGCCTTCTGTGTGCAGTTGTTCACGGAAACCACATGAACGGAAAATAGCTACACAGCTAATTCTTACTAAGGTGGCAAACACTGTGCATAACTTTTCACCAGGTCAACCACTGAATCTTCAGAAAACTGGTGGCCAACTATGAGGTTTCACATTGATGTTTAATGGCTGTTCCTAAAGAAGTGTGAGCCTTGCTTTTTTAAAAAAAAATAGGGCATGTGAGGTAGGTTGGAAAGGGAAGATAAAAGGCGCTGGAAAAATAGAGTGTGATTATTGCATTTTTATCAAATTATCAAATACATCTGTCTGGATTATGCGGTTAGAATCACTGCCAATTTGGCTTTTGTAAAAACTTTAAAACTTTTTGGCCCAGAGCGGTGGCTGACGCCTGTAATCCCAGCACTTTGGGAGGCTCCGGCAGGCCGATCACCTGAGGTCTGGAGTTCGAGACCAGCCAGATCAACATGGAGAAAACTCTACTAAAAATACAAAATTAGCTGGGCGTGGTGGCACATGCCTGTAATCCCAGCTACTTGGGAGGCTGAAGCAGAATTGCTTGAACCTGGTTAGCAGAGGTTACGGTGAGCTGAGATAGCACCATTGCACTCCAGCCTGGGCAACAAGAGCGAAACTCAGTCTCAAAACAAACAAATTTTCCCAATGTTTTCATTATCAGATCCAGTATGCAGGCTTTGAGTGGGCTGCCATTTCGTTCAGATATCAAAGTACTTTACAAGTAACTATTAGCATTTATTGTCTACACGTGAAAAACTAATAAAGAAAGGTCAATCAAAAGTTGTGCTCAAGGTCATTACATGAAATGATATAAAATAAGATTAATATTTAAAAAGTATTCCACGAAGACCAGGGGTCCAGCTAAATGTAAGGTGGTGGGGAAAATGCTTATCTAAAGTCCCTCTAAAGAAACCTCAGAAGGGAGAAAAACTTCACAGCCTCAGGAATGGACACATTTAAGTTTTTCTTTTTCTTTTCTTTTTTTTTTTTTTTGGCAGTGTCTCGCTCTGTTGTCCAGGTTTGAATGCAGTGGCCCTATCTCTGTTCACTGTAACCCCCGCCTCCCGAGCTCACGCGATTCTCCTGCTTCAGCCCACACACCCACCCCGCCCCGAGTAACTAGGATTATAGGCGCGTGCACTACGCCCAGATAATTTTTTTGGTATTTTTTAGTAGAGATGGGGTTTCGCCATGTTGACCAGGCGGGTCTCGAACTCCTGGCCTCAAGAAATCCGCCCGCCTCGGACCTCCAAAGTGCTGGGACCACAGGCGTGGGATACTGTGTCCGGCACACATTTGGGTTTTTCGTAGTCAGCAAAAAGACGACCACCCCAACACATAAATCTGGTGAATCATACGCAAATTCCCTCATGCCGCAACCTTCCACTGCTCTTCATACCTTTGGAGAGGCACACACTGTTATTTTAGGGGGAGGAAACGGATCAGAGACCTTGTCTCCTTCTTCTGCGCTACCAAACACCCCAAATGGCTTCCCTAGCAATCAGATTCCAGAAACACTTTCTCTTCTCTTGAAAACCCTCCGCTCCCTTCACTCAAGAACAGAATAATCAGGGGCCTTAATGAAGCTGTCCCGCCAACCTGCAGGGAAGAGCTGAGACGCAACCACTTGCCGCGTCAGGAAAATCCCGCGCCGCACCATGGAGGCAGCCATCTTGGAGCGTACCAAAAGGAATGGCCGGGGGGGTTACGGACAGAGGAAGGGGCGGGGTTACTCGACCTCTGGGGCGCCCAGAATTGGACGAATCCTGTTCGTCGCCCTCGGCGTCAGGACCGACGCCCCGCCTCCTCGCCACGGTTCCGGCAATTGGTATGGTCCGTGACGGTATGGCTGCTGCACTTCGGCCTTCCTGTGGAGTTCTCCTGCAGGCCCTGCAGTTTTCGGCGTATCCCGGGGTGGGAGGCTCCGGCTCTGCCTGCTACCGCTGCCCTCTCGGAGGTATCGGCAGCCTTAGCCCAGTGAAGGAGGGGCGAGATGGGAGAGAAGGGAGTATTAGACCCCAGCTAGCATCTCTTTGGAGCTCCTAAGTCACTCACTGGCCTGGAGCTCACCCTTGCCATCTAGTTGCACGTGGATTCAGTGGTTGCCCCTGAATTGGGGTCGTGGATACCCCCAGTGCCTGCAAATCGAAGGATGGCTGGGGTCTTGACCCTGGGGCTGTAGTACTCCCTCAGATGGGGCGACGTTGCTCTTCAGGAACACCCTTCCCGCCTTGGGTGACATTTCTCTTTTTCTTTTCTTTTCTTTCTTTCCTTTTCTTTTCTTTCTTTCTTTTCTTTCTTTCTTTTTTTTTTTTTTTTTTTTTCTTTCCTTTTTTTTTCTTTTTTTCTTTTTTTTTTTTTTTTTCTTTTTTTTTTTTTTTTTTTTGAGACTAAGTTTTGCTCTGTCGCCCAAGGTAGAGTGCAGCGGCGCGATCTCAGCTCACTGCAACCTCCGCCTCCCAGGTTCAGGCGATTCTCCTGCCTCAGCCTCTCGAGTAGCTGTGACTACAGGCGCGCGCCACCATGCCCGGCTAATTTTTTGTATTATTATCAGAGACGGGGTTTCACTAAGTCGGCCAGGCTGGTCTCGAACTGCTGACCCCGTGATCCACCCGCCTCAGCCTCCCCAACTAAGTGCTGGGATTACAGGAGTGAGCCACCGCGCCCTGCTTTTCTTTTTCTTTTCTGCAGTTTGGGAGCAGAGGTCTTATGGAGTCTCACTTTTGCTAACAATCTAAAAGACCTTTAGCATGTTTCTTCATTTTTCAAAACTATCCTTTAACATCTCTATGAAACAAATTAAATTAGAAAATGCTAGTGAGTGACGGTAAAAATATTTAACACTGTCAGGCCTTATTTTAATGTATTTTACATACATTAATTCCTTTTCTCTAAACAACACTCAGCAAGAGAAGTAACATTCTTTTCTCCATTTACAGAGAAGGAACAAGGTTAAGTAATTTGCCCAAGGTCAGAGGGAACTGGTAGAGGCGGGATTTGAACACAGCCAACAATAGAGACCTGTTCCTAACCACTTCACTGGACTGCCTGTCCGTAAATAAATAGCAATTTTTATTGTTACCTTGTTATTGCAGCTCACAGAACTCTTGGTGTATGATTCTTTGGCCAAGCTTCGTCCATTTTGTGTCATGCACAGCTGAGGATCCTAAAGAAAGGATGATGTTTCCCAAATCTACTCAGCTGTTACCAGTGATTTCCATGCATCTCAGATGTGTTTTGGGTTCACATCCGAGAGGCCTTAACCCTCATTTCACAGAAGACAAAACTGGGAATTCCACTGGCCACACTGCAGCCTTTTCCACTACACTATGCTTCTCCCTGGATAAACCAAAACTAAATATGCCTGTTTTACATTTAAATGTTAGATATTAGGTTTTTTTTTTTTTAATGCCCTTGTTACCCTTTAATCAAATGGCAAATGCCTATTTGTACTTCAAATCCCAACTTCCTGTCAATCAGTCCCCACACGGTTAATCACTAACTTCTTTTGTGCACACAAGTAAACCCTCTTTTGGTGAGGATTTGCATTCGCTGGTAGTCCAGAAATGTTTTTTCCCAGGAGTTACTGTCACCTGTCTAATGAATTGTTTATAATAGGTGAAGATAAGATCAGTTAATCAGAGAGAGTCAAGCTCTACTCATGTTATTTGCTAACGTTTAAAACAATCAAAATGACTTTACTTTTTCCTTTCTCTGATTTTTAGCTAAAAGATACCTACTTACAGATAACATTGTGAAACTAAAAGAATTTCAGCATAAGAAAGTGGCTGTTGCGTGTAATCTTCCTGGCACTAAAGGTAATAGAATCTATTTTGTTAATTCTGTCATCTGTCATTTACGTTTCTCTGTCTTCACCCCTATTCAGTGTCTCCTTCAGTGATTTTATTATGCCTTAGAAAAAGTTGAGACCGTTTATATTTAGTTTCATAGTGTGCTCTTATATTCAGCTCACATCTCACAGTTTGCTGCTACAAAGTCTACAGCTCTCCTCTTATCCCTTTTCTTACGATCCCAGAGAAATACTAAAGCTAGTGCTGCCATTGGTCCTGTCTAGATCTATGCCACTTAAACTATGGTTTGAGGACAAGCAACGTCAGCATCTGTTGGGTGGTTGATAGAAATGCAGATAGAAAGGCCCCAATTCATTCATATGCACAATAAATTTTAAGAACTTCAGATGATTGGCTTTGAAACTTTTCAATGTAACCTTCAGTGAAAATGCATTTTATGTTACATCTCAGTACACACATGCGTATCTATATATAAATGAAATCAAATGAAACAAAACAGTACTGTGTGTGATGGTACTTTTTGATATTTTTCACTCTGTGCTAGAAGTCAGTAGGATCAAAAATTTATTTAAAAAAAAAAAAAGAAACCTGACCATCAAACCTAGGATTTTGCTGGCATCAAGGCTCATGCCTATAACTCCAGCACTTTGGGAGGCCAAGGCAGGAGGATTTCCTGAGCCAAGGAGTTTGAGATCAGCTTAAGCAGCATAGACCCCCATCTCTACAAATTTTTTTAAAGTTAGCTGGGTGTGGTGATGCATGCCTGTAGTGACCCTGTCTCAAAAAAAAAAAAGAGAGAAATCTCGGATTTGCTTTGGGGAAAAAAAAAAAAAAAAAGAAAAGCAAACCAGTATGTTTGGGGATTGTAGAGTAGAGGAAACATAATTAGCAAAGTATTGGTAATTATTGAGGCTGGAAAATGGCACTTAGAGGTATTATTATACTGTTCTTTCATTTCTTGGATATGTTTGAAGATTTTTGTTATAAAAAGCTAAAAACACAAGAACACCACCTTAGGTCTTACTACTTTTCAGCACCTGAGAAATCTTGTTTCATTCATTCTCTCCCTCCTGCGCAGAGTTCTTCCCAGCACTTTAAACCCATTTATTGTGTTTGGGTACAGCAGTGGTCCCTGGGAGTTGTGGATGCACCCCATTGATCCCCAGTTGTGAACACATCAAGACTTTCTTTCAATAAATCTTGGTGTCCCTGTTGACTTTTTCATCCATAGACCCAGGTCTCCTTCCTCTCAATGGCAGATGTTTGTGAGCTGATTAACATATTAACATTCTCTTTATTTTGTTTTTTTTTTTTTTTTTTAAGAGACAGGGTCTCGCTCTGTAACCTAGGTTGGAGTACAGTCGGTGCCATTGTAGCTCGCTACAGTCTCAAACTCCTGGATTCAAGCAATCCTCCTGCTTTAGCCTCCTGAGTGACTAGGACTACAGTGCCACCATGCCTGCCTAATTTTTAGTTTTTCAGAGGCAGGGTCTCACTGTGTTGCCTAGGCTAGTCTCAAACTCCCAGGCTCAAGCTGTCCTCCCACCTCAGTCTCCTAAAGTACAGGCGTGAGCCACTGCACCCATCCTGATACTTTCTGTCTCCATTTCCTCACAATTCAGTTCTCCAGAAATCAGTGTGCTCTCGCTGCTCCACTAAACATACTGTTATATAACGCGACATATGGGACAAAAAAATAAACCTTTGGAATGTGGGGAATATATTTATCCCCAGGTTAGTAGGCTCAATCTAGATTTCACTTATCTTTTCTTTCTACCACAGGTATTTTAGATCCTTGTGAGGTTTGCAGTTAGGGCTTTATGTCATCCGGTTGTGATTTCCAATTGTAGTCTTCATAAGGTTGTGGCAGTTGTGTACAGGTTCTGAAAGGCAATTAATGTAATCATTGGCAATCTGCTCTGTTGTCAGACTGATATGTTTAAAATCCTGTCAACCTTTCATCATTTTGAGATCCCACAGTGGTACTCTGTTGTATACCACACCATTAATGTCCTCATCCCTCTGGCATCCTGGCTGTCTTAGTGGACTCCATCCTTTCTAGAGTTCAGCATGGTTTCTGGTTCATCTATCACAGCTCTTCCCTCCACACCTTTCACTCCCAGTTCTCTTCTGTCACTCATGCTGATTCCCATACCTAGAATGCCTCCCTCCTCCATTTCTCCAACCCAATTCAGCCCTTTTTTTTCCTCACTGGTACCCCTCCACTTTCACCAACCTAGTCTGTCCTGAGTCATAATAGTAAAGGTTGTAATAGGACCCTTCTGCCCACTCTGAGTTATACTAGGTATCATAACAGGACAGAAGAGTCCTATTATGTTTCTAGTCATTCCTGTGTCACCTCCTCCGTTACTGTTTTCAGGTAGCTTTGTATAAGTAGAGCTTTTGCCTTCCCAAATAGGCTTTAAGTTCTTTGAGGGCAGGAACTATTCTTTATCCTTCTTAGTGTCTCACACACAAAGAAGGATACTTCTGAGTATGATTATATGATACATACTTAAATGTTGATTGATTTGTTTTAAAACACAAGTTGAAATTTTGGATTCTTGTTTTTTGTTTGTTTTTTTTTTTTTACTTGCTGAGATGGAGTCTCGCTCTGTCACCCAGGCTGAAGTGCGGTAGCGTGATCTCGGCTCACTGCCACCACTGCCTCTCAGGTTCAAATGATCCTCATGCCTCAGCCTCCCCAGTAGCTGGAATTACATATGTGTGCCATCATGCCTGGCTACTTTTTGTATTTTTGGTAGAGAGCGGGGGTTTCACCATGTTGGTGAGGCTGGTCCCGAACTTCTGACCTCAAGTGATCTGCCCACCTCAGCCTCCTAAAGTGCTGGGATTACAGGCATAAGCCACTGCACCTGGCCTCTTAAGGTTTATTAAGAAGGATTAAGAGGTACAAGATGTAATGTCATCTCTTTGATGACTTTAGACTTTTTAGATTGGAAATCACTTAGAAATATTTAATAGACTAAATCCTCATAGATCCGACAGAAGGAATGAAAATAGGAACAATAATGTTTCTATTTACTGGCAGTTAGCATATGGCAAATGCTTTACATAGATCATCTCAGGTAACCCCATGAGGAAGGTACCACGATCCTTAATTTACACATGAGGAATCAAGTCTTACAGACAAGGGTCTCCATCAGAGTGCAAGTGGCTGAGCTTAGATTTCAGCCCAGGTGCTTCCATCTCTAGAGCCTGTAACTGTTAACGTGGTTCTGCAAATAAAAATGGGAAGATCACTGCGTTATCTCAAACGTAGTGGGTCTTTTCTTGTAAATCGAGAAGAATGCCCCTGCTTCTAGTTCTTGTATTTTACATGTATTTGTGCCTCTCCTTTCAGCAGCATTCCTTCATAGCTCTGGGCTTTGGAACAAATCCTATAACCATTTCCTGGCAGCTTCTGATACTGACAACAGTTCTGCCTTCTGGAAAGCAGATGCTTGCTTGGTGCCTGCTTTGCTTTTCACCCCACATTTTGGTGGGAATACAGCCCCTCCTTGATGCCAAGAAGAGGTGCTTCCTTTTGGTTTTTGTCCCCACAGTTGATCAGATACAAAGACAAGGGAGAATGATAGACTGTAATGATGCTGAAATGATTCTGTCACTAAAAAACTGTTTGCTGCTGTTTGGAGGACTGTTTTCCCCCCTGCCCATTGCATAGTACTTGAGCATACTTTCTAACAGCTGAGTAGAAAGAAACCAAGAGGAATGAAAAAGAGGTAAAGTTGAATCAAATGAAAGAAACATAAGTCATGTGAGTCCACCACTGTGGACAAACCTACCTTCAACTCACATTTTCTTTTTAGTTTTCCTGTGTGGCTCTCTGCCAGTTGATGGTTTGAGTGTCTAGCTACATTTTCTTTCTTTTTTCTCATGAGTCACCTGGAGATTCAGTTATTTGAGCCAAGCCTCTGGGACAGTAGTTCTCAAATTTCAGTATACCAGAGGATTACCTAGGGAATCAAAAATGCTAATTCTTGAGCTCTTACCCCAGAGATTTTATTTTACAGAGTCTTGAGTGAGCCTGGCCCTGTGCCCATGCCCCAGATTCCTATGACAGATGCCATCTGCTGACACTTTTCTAGAGGAGATTAGCCAGTGGTGGCAGCTGTGTGTCCCTGAGCCCCTCTCAGTGCCCTTTTGCAGTGAGCTGGGGTTGGACTTCCCCATCTTCCCTAGGTCAGGCTCCTTATACTGCCAGTCAGCCTGAGTGATGGCCACCATACTATGTTTTCTTCCAGAAACCTATTTTAGAAACTTGGAAGAGAAACTCATCCAGAACAAGCTCATCTTGAAGGGGGAGTTGATAACCTTACTTCATTTGTGTGAGTCCCGGGACCATGTGGAGCTGGCTAAAAATGTCATTTACAGGTGAGGCATTTCCTTAGAATGCTGCCACCCTCATCCCTTCATACTCTGTTCCTTTCTGTGAGCAGTCTCATCCATTTCCAAGATTTTGCCACTTCTACACCAATGACTTTCAAATCTCTTTTTCATATGCCTGCTTTGAATTTCAGACACTTACATTCACTCATTGAGCACACACTTACTGGGTTCCTGCTACATGCTGGGTGCTAAGGATAGAAAAGCAGATATTTTATGTCTAAAGAAGTTACCAGCCTATTCACTAACTCCACTGACATATCCCCTAGGTCTTCAAATTCAACATGTGCAAATTCACTCCTCTTCCTCTGTTTTCCTTCTCACTGGCTAGTCACTCAGGATAGATATTTTGCAGCCTCTTTACTTTCATCTCATTTGCCTCTGTTTCCTGATAGGGTAAGAAATCCTGTTGCTTCCATTTCCTTGGTATCTCTCTCAGCTCCAGCCCTCCTCTTTCTCTCCTGTTACCAATGTCTTAGTTCACGCTTTAATGTCTTTCACCTGGATCTTTTCAGTGACCCTAACTATTCTCCCTCCTCCAGTCCTGCTATACCTTTCTGATCCATTATTAAAAGTTTCCCGTGTCAGAAGGAACTCACATGTAAGCATAGCCTGCCACTGGGAAAGCTAGTAAAGGCTTCACTTACCAGGGAGCAGTATGACATCAAATCAACAGACTTCATTTCTGAAATTAAGTTCATTGCTCTTTTCCATTTTTTAAAAACTATTTTCTTTTTCTTTCTTTTTTTTTTTGAGATGAAGTCTTGATCTGTTGCCCAGGCTGGAGTACAATTGCATGATCTCTCAGCTCACTGCAACCTCCACCTCCAGGTTCAAGCAATCCTCCCTGTGTCAGCCTCCCAAGTAGCTGGGATTATAGGTACCTGCCACCGTGCCTGGCTAATTTTCATATTTTTAGTAGACATGGGTTTTGCCATGTTGGCCAGGCTGGTCATGAAATCCTGGACTCAAGTGATCCACCCGCCTCCACCTCCCAGAGTGCTAGGATTACAGGCATGAGCCACCATGCCTAGCCCTCTTTTCCATTTTTTAAAGATCTGTTTCTGTACATGAACCTGGATTTTATATGTATATTTATAGAGAGAAATACAGGATAATCATATAAAGAATACTAGGAGATTATATAACGAGTTAACTGTGATTCTCTGGGAATTATGGATTATGTATTTTTTGTTTGTCTAAATGTATATTTTTCTGATTTCTCAAACTTGTCTACAGTGAATATTTTATAACATGAAAAAATGTCTTTAAGTTAAAAAAAGGAAAATTAAAAAATTCACTGAAAAATTGAAAAACACCAAAAAGTAGAAAGGAGAAATATATCACAAATTCTGCTGTTTCAGTTGTCTGTTGCTGCATAACAAACCACACCAGAACTTAGTGGCTTAACACAGCAACTGTTTATTAATTTTCATAGTTCTGGGATCAGGAATTGAGGCCCATCTCCACTGAGCAGTTCTTTGTTGGTGTCAGATGAAGCCACTCACTTATCTGCAGTCAACTGGTAGCTGGGCTGTACTGCATGGTCCAAGAAGGCCTCTCTTGAGTTTGTGATGCCTCATTGCTCCTCCATGTGGCTGCTCCCTATCTTTCTGGAGTGCCTCATCATTCATTTGTTGGTTTGAGCTGCATTGGCCCACAGCCCAGATGGGAGCTGCCAGGCATGATAGAGTTGCCCAGAATTGGCATGGCTTTTCTTGGTCAAGGCAAGATACCTGTCCAGATCCAAGTAAAGGGGAGGGGAAAAGGATTCCACCTCTGGATTAATGGAAGGAATTGATGACGGCCATCTTTGGGGCCAGCTGCTTACATCTAAGAAACCGCTGTTGAGATTTTTGCATTTTTTTTTCACAGATGCAAAGATTTCATTATTTTGGCAGATTTTCTTTTACATTGTTATAATTATTTCTGTGTAATTATTTTCTAAATTAATATAAATTTTTTTCCTTGTTAATCATATCCTTAGGAGTCATAGTTTAATGACAATACAATATTTCATTATACATTGGATATTTTCATTAACCATGCCCATATTGTTGGACATTGAAGTTATTTATAATTTTTCACCAGTATAAATAATGTCATGATGAGAAACTCTCTGCATAAAACTACTGTTTGTTTCCTTTTGGGGATCAGGGGGTATGAACTTTTTAAAAATTTATCAATATAACTGTCAGATTATTTTCCAAAAGCATTATGCTAATTTAAAGTCACACTATATCTGCAAACTTAATTCTATATTTCAGTTTCACAAAGTTAAATCATTTCCCTCTGGCATGTTTTCTTCTCACACATTTTACTACACAAAGCTATTTGATGTTTATAAGAGTAGTAAAATGAGATAAATATTCTGAACACTCTTTCTACTCCTGTTTTTATCATAAATATTCAGAGTGTGACTCAGTTCCTTTACTGATGCTAATAACTCTCTACCCAGTTGCTGATCTTTCCCTCTCTACTTGCAGACAGCTGGACGAGATGGGTAGATCCAAGGCTCAACCATCATGTTCTCTTTCTTCCTGGGTCAGGCAGCCCACGACTGGGAAAGAAGAGTCATGAGCTGAAACATAAGCTTTTTATCGAGCCCAAAATGGGAAACATCTTAATACCCTCATTGTGTTGACCAAATGCTGTTTGGTTTATTGAGGGATTTTAGATCCTCTTCAACATTTCTTGCCCAGAAGGCAATTCATTATCTCAGTGACTTTCTAGCACTTTTATTAATGTGAATGTCATTTAGAGTGTTAATGTCAAATCAGAAAACTTGTTTTTGCTTTCTTTTGCTTTTAATCTGGCACAAGTTTCTCATGAGAATATTTACTGAAATATGTTGATTTTTAAAGATGTTTTTCTTAGCATGCCGTACATTTTATAAGAGCTAACATATGTTGAAGACTTGTGTGCCAGGCACATCATCTCATTTAATCTTCACACACACACACACAAAAACTTATTGGGTTCTCTTCTTCCTTCCATTTTACAGGTGAGGAGACAGGGGCAGAGAATAGTTAATTAATTTGCTTATGGTCACACAGTTTATAAACAGAAGAGCTAGGACTTGAATGATCAGTTTGGATTCAGAGTCTAAAAACCCTTTACCACTATCCTATATTGGCTTCTAACAAATTAATTTATGAGTGTTGTAATGAAGCAGTAAATATTATTTGTAAGTTCTGTAAGTGGATTATGAAATGTATCAAAGTACACATCATTATCCTATTATGGTATCATTGTAGTACATGTGTTTAGAATAAACTAGCGTAATGCTACTCTGATTCCTTGATGATTTTGGCAGAAGGTAAAAAGCATTCTGTTTTGTTGTCAGCACTTTACTGCAAGGTATTTTAGATTCATTCATCATATTAATCTAAATCTAAAAGGAATATGAATATGAAGATTTATAATGAGTACATCTTTCTAAAATCTGATTTACACATAATGAAGTGTTCCTTTTGTCATATATTGTCCTCTTGGTGTCTAAAGCAAAAAGAGTTGGTTATTGAAAGTAAATTTACAGTAGTGATATGCAGCTCTGACTGGCAGGCTGGCTGCCTGTAGAAGTCTCAAGCCACATAGAAGACATCATTGTCTTTGACATTAGCTTTTTCTTAAAAGTTCAGGCCAGGTGTCATGGCTCACCCCTGTAATCCCAGCACTTTGGGAGGCCAAGGTGGGCAGATCACAAGGTCAGGAGTTCAAGACCAGCCTGGCCAACATGGTGAAACCCCGTCTCTACTAAAAATAGAAAAATAGCTTGGCATGGTGGCGTGTGCCTGTAATCCCAGCTACTCAGGAGACTGAGGCAGGAGAATTGAACTGGGATCCGTAGGCGGGGGTTGCAGTCAGTCAAGATTGTGCTACTGCATTCCAGTCTGAGCTACAGAGCAAGACTCCATCTCAAAAAAAGAAACAAAACAAAACTTAAACGTTCAAAACCACATTTAACTTGCTTAGCCAGGTGATTGTAGCTCTTGTGTACCTTTCCCAAACTTAGAAAAGCAGAGAGTTTGCTATAAATTGTAAATGTGTCTGTTGGTTCTTTGCCATCCTATATGAGGATGAAGCCAGCCTCCAGGAGCATAGAGCATCACCCTACTTTCCTTTGTTCTCTGGGTGGGGCCTATTCTGATGCACTTACAGATGCTACTAGACTCCTGCTGTTTCCTAAGGTGTGCTCACACTCAGTCTCAGGGTTGTTTTTAAATTTAGAGAATGATTACAATGTATATTTTCCCTCTGTTTCTCTTATTTTATGTCAGCCTGCTATAAACTCTGTTTATTTAAATGCTTGGTATACTTCTGCACTCCAGGATTCCTGATTGTTGGAAATCACTTCTCCCCGTCCAGACTGTGAGAAAACCTCATTCTCTATTGTGTCCTAGCACCTGGCACAGTACATGCCGCAGTCTGTGTCTGTCCTTTTTCCTGTTTCCTACCTTTCAGCTCATTGAATCATTTTGATTACCAGGTACCATGCAGAGAACAGAAATATCACTGTGGGGGAGTATAAGTTCGGACCACTTTTCATGAGGCTGTGTTACGAGTTGGATCTTGAGGAATCTGCAGTGGAGCTCATGAAAGACCAGGTTATTGTTTCCTAATTGTTTTCTGTGCCAATGTGTGTGTTTTTGGTGATATTGGAAAAGGCATCTCTTCCATGCACATTATTCCTGGGTTAGATTTTCCAAGAAAGGCTGCTGGGCTGAATGAATAAGCACTTCTCTGCATTTTTTAGTTTCCTTGCAGTCAGTTTGTGTGAAGAGGGGTGGAGTGATATAGAACAAGTGTGGAAGAGGTCTAGGTACAGATGATCCTACTTTGGATGTGTATCAGCATGGGTTGTATACCTACTCTTTCAAGGGCTTTCAATAGAGAAGAGCTTAACACAGCTTCCATTTAAAGACTGACATTCCTATCCTTTACCTGTGTTCCCTCTTAATTTTCTATTTGTATTTTTCTGGTTGAAGACTACATTTGGAAAGTACTTTTCCATTTTCAAGATACTTTCACATATTCTGACTTTCTTTTCCCTAAAACAAATGTAAATAAAAATTTTTACAGCTACTCATTAAATATTTACTATGTTTTCGGCATTGTATTTAAGTACTTTAAATGTTTCATTTTATTTGTTTTCCACAATAGTCTTGATGAGGTACATTTCCATTTTGCAGATAAAGAAACTAGGACCTAGAGACATTATAAATTCATTCATTCATTCATTATAAAGTCATTTTGATTACCAGATACCATGCAGAGAACAGAAACATCACTTTGGGGGAGTGTAAGCTTAGACCACTTTTCATGAGGTTGCAGTTCCCATAATCAGAAATAATTGCTAAATTTTGGGCCACAGCTGGCCACCAGGTACATTTTTGTGTATTTAGGAACTTATAAGCTGAGTTGTTCTTCTGCTTCTTACACTTTCTTTTAAAAAATAAAAAATATACTGTATTTACTTAGAAGCATTTAGAATGTCATCAAGACAGCTGCAACTTTTTTTTTTTGCAATTGCAGAATGATACTCAGTTAACAGAACAATTATTTCATATAAGCTGCATCAGATTGAAGATGATAAAACTACCATCCCCATATATAACTAATTTGTGCTGTGCACCAACAACAACCTGCTTTAAATTTCCATGCCAATTTGCAGCCGCCATACTATACCAGGCAAGGTTAGTTGCTATCGAAAATACCGTCAGGACAGGGCTATCTAAAGACACATTCAGTAGTGTGTTAACTATACAAAAAAAAGACACTGTACAGTTTAAAAACAAATCTTAACACAGCCTTACATTTCAATTTTCTTCTTTAAAAAGAGTGAGTTGTGTGCAGGAGGGTTAGATGCTTTATAGACAAGACAAAAACTGCACTAGAACCAACTTATTCATCATCATCTTCATCTTCTTCATTCTCTTCATCTTCTTGTTTTCCTACTCTTCCTACTTTTTCTTGCTTTTTACAGCCTTGACAACTCCCTTTATTGCTGCATCAGGCTTTCCTTTAGCTTGATATACAGCAACATCCTTTTCATATTTTTCCTTCAGCTTCACAGCCTTCTTTTCATAAGGCTGCTTGTCACCTGCAGCAGTGTCATTCCACGTCTCTCCCAGTTTCTTTGCAATATCACCAATGGACAGGCCAGGATGTTCTCCTTTGATTTTTGGGTGATACTCAGAGCAGAACAGGAAAAAGGCTGAAGGAGGCCTCTTGGGTGCGTTGGGATCCATGAGCTTCTTTTGTCTCCTCTTTAGGAAGGATATAGGTTTTCATTTCTCTTTCATAACAGGCCTTGCTGCCTTTGCCATATCTGCATATTTTCCTTTCTCTTTAGCAGTCATGGACTTCCACCTTTCTGATTGCTTCTTAGAAAAGGAAGGAGTGAGGAATTGACTGAAGCATCTGGATGCTTCTTAAGCTTCTCCCAACAAGTTTGCACAAAAAATGGATGTGATGACATTTTGCCTGTTGACTTCTTAGGATCTCCTTTGCCCATGTTTAGTTATTTTTCCTCAGCGATGCACAGAGTCAACCAGCGCCCATCTGGCTCTCACTTGCCCCAGCACTGTCTCTGTGGAGCTGAATGTGCTTCAGCCTCTTACTCTTTTTTTATACAAAGCGTTTTCTGTACATGGTGGGTGTGTTAACTCTAGGCTTGCCCATCTTTAATGACACCTGTGTATTAGAAAGATGATCAAGATATATCAGTAAGCAGAGAAAAGATAGTCTCAGAATGGTACAGATAGTTTGATCCTGTTTTTTCCTAAAAAAAAAAAAAAAAATTATATATATATATATATATGTATTTCTAGACAATAAAGATTTTTTTGTTCTTCAAAAAAAAAAAAAAAAAGACACATATTAACATTAACATTTTAACAAAATATAGATACATATATGCTGGAAAGATATACACTAAATCACTTTATCTTTAGGGAGTACAATTATTAAAAATTCTCACTTTTTATTTTATATGTTTTGTATTATTTGACTATAAACATAATGTTGCAGTTAAAGGAAAACAAGTTTCCCGCTGTAATAAATCATAGCCATGACTATGATGATAAAAACAAAACTATAAAAGAAAGATGAAAGCAAAGGGTTTCTTTTTTTAGCCTACTTGTATATGAAAAACTCGTGTATAAGCAAGTTTTCTGGAGTAGAATGAACAAATTTGAATAAGTGACAGAGGACCTAATCCTGCTTCTACCAGAAGTGTTGTAACTTAAAACCCTGTAGCTTTGTCAACGTGGTAGCCACATTAGTCACTGAACTGTGGCTAACTCAACTTTACATGCGCTGTAAGTATAAAGTATATGATGGAGTTTAATTACTTGGTATAAAAAAGAGAATGCAGGCTGGGCACGGTGGCTCACGCATGTAATCCCAACACCTGGGGAGGCCAAGGAGGGCAGATCACCTGAGGTCGGGAGATAGAGACCAGCCAGACCAGCCTGTCTCTATTAAAAATACAAAATTAGCTGGGCGTCGTGGTTCATGCCTGTAATCCCAGCTACTCAGAGGCTGAGGCAGAAAAATTGCTTGAACCTGGAAGGTGGAGGTTGCAGTGAGCTGAGACCATGCCATTGCACTGCAGCCTGGGTGGGCAACAAGAGTAAAACTCTGTCTCAAAAAAAAAAAAAAAAGAATCCAATGTATTTTAATAACTTTTATATTGATTACATGTTGAAAATTACATCTTGGATATAGTGGGTTAAATTATTTAGTCTATTTCTGTTTACATTTTTCTTTTTTTGTTAACTATATATATATATTATATATATATATATTTTTGTTAACTATATATATAATATATATATATATATAATATATATATAAATATTTTATTGCACTTTAGGTTCTGGGGTACATGTGCAGAACATACAGGATTGTTGCATAGGTACCTACATGGCAATGTGATTTGCTACCTCCATCCCCCCATCACCTATATCTGGCATTTCTCCCCATGTTGTCTCTCCCCAACCTCCCTACCCCATGCTGTCCCTCCCCTAATCCCCCCACAACAGACCCCAGTGTGTGATGCTCCCCTCCCTGTGTCCATGTGATCTCATTGTTCAACACCTGCCTATGAATGAGAGCATGCAGTGTTTGATTTTCTGTTCTTGTGTCAGTTTGCTGAGAATGATGGTTTCCAGATTCATCCATGTCCCTACAAAGGACACAAACTAATCATTTTTTATGGCTGTGTAGTATTCCATGGTGTATATGTGCCACATTTTCCTTGTCCACTCTATCATCAATGGGCATTTGGGTTGGTCCCAGGTCTTTGCTATTGTAAACAGTGCCACAGCGAATATACGTGCACATGTGTCCTTATGATAGAATGATTTATAATCCTTTGGATATATACCCAGTAATGGGATTGCTGAGTCAAAAGGAATTTCTATTTCTAGGTCCTTGAGGAATCGCCACACTGTGTTCCACAATGGTTGAACTAATTTACACTCCCACCAACAGTATAAAAGTGTTCCTGTTTCTCCACATCCTCTCCAGCATCTGTTGTCTCCAAATTTTTTAGTGATCACCATTCTAACTGGTGTGAAATGGTATCTTAGTGTGGTTTTGATTTACATTTCTCTAATGACCAGTGATGAGCATTTTTTCATGTTTGATGGCTTTATAAATGTCTTCTTTTGAAAAAGTGTCTGTTCATATCCTTCGCCCACTTTTGAATGGGTTTGTTTGTTTTTTTTTCTTTTAAACCTGTTTTTGTTCCTTGTAGATTCTGGATATTTGCCCTTTGTCAGATGGGTAGATTGCAAAAATCTTTTCCCATTCTGTTGGTTGCCGGTTCACTCTAATGATCGTTTCCTTTGCTGTACAGAAGCTCTGGAGTTTAATTAGATCCCTTTTTTCTCTTTTTGCTTTTTTGCCAATGCTTTTGGTGTTTTAGTCATGAAGTCCTTGCCTATGCCTATGTCCTGGGTGGTTTTGCCTAGGTTTTCTTCAAGGGTTTTTATGGTGTTAGGTCTTACGTTTAAGCCTTTAATCCATCTGGAGTTAATTTTAGTGTAAGGTGTCAGGAAGGGGTCCAGTTTCTGCTTTCTGCACATGGCTAGCCAGTCTTCCCAAGGCCATTTATTAAACAGGGAATCCTTTCCCCATTGCTCGTTTTTGTCAGGTTTGTCAAAGATCAGATGGTTGTAGATGTGTGGCATTGCCTGTGAGGCCTCTGTTCTGTTCCATTGGTCTATATCTCTGTTTTGGTACCAGTACCACGTTGTTTTGATTATTGTAGCCTTGCAGTATAGTTTGAAGTCAGGTAACATGATGCCTCCAGCTTTCTTCTTTTTGCTTAGAATTGTCTTGGCTATGTGGCCCCTCTTTTGCTTCCATATGAAGTTTAAGATGGTTTTTTCAGTTCTGTAAAGAGGGTCATAGGTAGCTTGATGGGGATAGTGTTGAATCTGTAAAGTACTTTGGGCAGTAGGGCTGTTTTCACAATATTGATTCTTCCTAACCATGAGCATGGAACGTTTTTCCATCTGTTTGTGTCTTCTCTTATTTCCTTGATCAGTGGTTTGTAGTTCTCCTTGAAGAGGTCCTTTACATCCTTTGTTAGTTG